TCAAATATATGGGAAGATTTGGAGAAGTTGTGGGAAGGTGTGGACGGTGTGAGGACGGTGAAGGAAGGCGTAGAAGGAGTGGAGTCCTTGTGGTAAGGTATGAGAATGGCGTGGGAAGGTGTGGTATTGCAGACAGCTAAGTTAGACAGAAACATGACAGGCAGTCAGACAGGGCTAGGTCCTTGACAGAGTCGGGACAGAGGTGAAACGCACCACAACTGTGGCTGGAGACACATCCACCGGAGACCGGGCCTCAAGATGAAGACAAGATGACCAAGCCTGCACACTTTGTAAAAGGACAAACACCGGGCCCAATAAAGTGTAGATGGGTATCAGTCACCCTGGCGGGTGACTAAGAGCCTCGGAACCCACCATTTTCTAGAAGTCGTCTTTGTTCCTTCCATGCACACTTGTTACATGGCTTGTTTCCCAACTGGACTATTATTACCTAAGTGACCATACTTGTGACTTTATTGGTTAATCATAACTGTAATCCACATTGTCCCCAGGTGGGTTTTGTTCCATGAAACTTCCTTGTCAAGAAAGCAGAGTCCCCGGCTACCCATTTTGGGTCCCCTCCCATCTCTCTTCCCCTTTTTCCCCCTTCAATAAATATTTTCTTTTGTTTGGCACCAGGGATGGAACTTGGGTCCTTGCGCTTGTGAGGCAGGCGGTGACACCGATGAGGTAAATCCCTGGTCCCCCTTATTCTTAACCTCTGTTGTTCTTCGAATTCGTTCTTCAGTTTTAGGGAACATGAACACAGTGTATCAGATGTCAGACAGATGGAGAGATATAACAATTTCATATTTCGTCTTCTGTATCAGCGGGATGGTGTGGAAAGATGAGCGAAGGTGTGTAAAGGTGTGTGAATGTCAGAAAAGGTGTGGGAGGTGGAGGAAGGTCAGGGAAGGTCAGGGAAGACTGGGAAGGTGTAGCCCAGGAAACATGTAAGGGTGTGTGAAAGCTGGGGAAAGTGTGGAAAAGTTACAGGAAACTGGGAAGGAGTGAGAGGTGTGGGAGGGTGAGAGAAGGTGTGTGAGGGTGTGTAACTGTACGTGTGCTGGATCTGACACATAGACTCCAAAGTCTTGTACACACAAGCAAAGAACTGCAAAGGAAACATTCGATGGTGAAGGAAAAGCAGCTACAATTATTGAAAGTGACGAACAGAGAAATGGTGCTGGTGCTGGGATGACAGAAAAGGAACTGCAAGGCTGCAAATAAATCAGCTCTGGGGAGAAATGGGGGGGAGAGAGACATATAGACAGACAGACACAGATATAAGCTTTGGTCTGGGGTAACACAGAACCCTGTAGGATGGTGCTGGAGCTCAAGGCTCAAGTGAGTGGAGGGGAAGTCAACTCCTCAGCCCTAATATTGTATCTGTACCATTTTCCTTAGTCTTGATTTTCAGATTGTTTCCATGTTTTCACTATTATACTAATACTTGTTATTAGGAACAATATATACATTTATTTTCATGAAATGGTTTCCTAGAAATGTAATCACTTGGATAGGAAAAATCTGAATAGTGTGACATATACTGCCAGGGAATTCTCATTAGGTATAATTTTTAATGCTTCTATATATCCATTGACGTTTTTTTTTCAGCTTTGAGTTTATTGGTACATTTTAGGGATACAGTACAGTTACATTCATTGTTGGGATCTTGTGCCTCCACATGACAGGTCTTGGTTCTCATTTTTTCCCCTT